ACCAGTGGCAGCAGCACAGCCAGTGCCTTCTCCCGGTCCCCAGGCCTGTTCCTCCTAGGGAAAGGGGGAGATAGGCTGGGAACTTACGGATGGCCCTGCCCCCACTCTATCCAGGAACCCCAAGACCCTGAACAGCAGGGACCCTTCCAAAGGCCTGACCATAATGAGCCCAGAATAACTGTGACTCTGGTCAGCATTGACCTTTCTAGAAGTAATAATCCCAGATAGAGGTGATTCCTAGCAGCTCTGACTCTGAGGGACAGTGACTGTGGAAGCTGTGACCACTCCAAGGACAGCGGCACCATCCCACCACACCCCAGGCAGCAGTAATAGAACAACAGGGACCATCTGACATCAGTGTGACCCTGGTCAGTCAATTCCCTGAACAGCCCTGATCTCAGACTGCAATGACCTCACATAGCAAGACCCACGTCTCCAAGGGGGCTATGACCTGAACCGTGTGCTCTGTCACTCACCGGTTGAGGGCAAACGTGTAGTGGAAGCAGATGTTGTGCTGCTCGGCCACGTCACAGGTGGGCAAGGCCTGCAGTGTCTCCACCAGCTCAATGATGGCTGAGTAGTCCTGTGGGAGGGAACGGCGCACACTGGCACGGTGGCCTCTGGTGGGTCCCATCGCCCCCGGACCCAGAGGAAGACCTTGAGTTGAGATCCCCTCCCATCCCTGACACTCCATCTACCCACCCACCATACCTGAGGCCCGGGAGGTAGTGTAGACACCACACCTTACACAGAACCTGCTGTGTGCCCCTCCTTCCCTACTGCCCCGGGAGACAGTGACATGACCATTCTCTATACGGATTAGGAAACTGAGGCTCAGAGACCTCAGACAGCCAGGAGATGGACTCGGGTTTTCCTGACACCGAACGCCGCTGCCCTGCCTGCCTCTCTGAGCGCCACACACCTGCACGTCGCGGTAGGAGAGCAGCAGGTTCATGATGATGTCGGGGCTCAGCAGCTCCACGCTGTCGAGCCTCCGCTGCAGGCGAGCCAGCTCCTGCCGCAGCTGCTGCCCGGAGAACCGCTCCCGGGCCCGCCGGATGTCCTGCCGAATGGTCTCCCGGAAGTAGCCACTAAGGCCCCCAGCAGAGGAGGGAGGGGGAGAGCGTGATGGGGCCTGTCCCTCAGCCCCAGCCTGCTGTGCCCTCACCAGCCTTGTCCCGGTGCACCCTCCCTGCACCCCATTACCAAGAGTCCGTGGGCGTGGTCTCCAGCAGGCGGGCGAGCCGGCCCACCAGGGGCGTTAGCAGGGCCTCGCTGCCCACCCCTGCCTGGACTAGCCCATCAGCCAGGCCTCTCAGGAGGCCCGCATCACCGCACAGCACCCGGCCACTGGCTGTCACCACATAGGGGATCAGTGTGTAGCTGCCAACACAGTCCTGGTGGGAGGGAGGCAGGAGTCAGTGCGGGTCAGAGGTCAGCACCAGACAGAGATTAGAACAGCTGAGAAGGGGCATACTTCACGAAGGCTGGCAATAGGGAACAGAGGCCACCCGGATGTCAAGAGAATCAGAGAGGTCAGAGGTGACTGAGGAGGCCAGGAATGGTAGTAGAGAGTGGAGGTCAAAGGGTACATTGGAGTAAAGGGTGGATTCTGCTCACCGAATTCTTCTGGAAAACGTCTTCCTGCAGGGGGACAGTCAGATTGGTATCGTAGATAGGCCCCAACCCAGCCTGCCCCCCACCAGCCACCTGGCCACCTACCCGAAGGGCCTGCAGGTCAGGGAGGTCAGCCTGGGAGCAGAGGAGCACATTGTTGGTCATGCTGAAGCTCTCACGCACACCAAGGTGGTAGAAGAGGGAGGGCTGTGCCAGGGAGCTGCTCACCTCCAGTACTACCACGTCTGCGGGCACACAGGTGCATGCCCTGAGCCCCTCAGCCTAGCTGGTGGGGGAGGAGTCTGGGGACCCCTCCTGGCTCAGGTGGCCTTCCCACGTGACTCCAGCAGGGTCCAGTTTTGCTCTGGTCTCAGTTTCCCCTTTCTAGATCCCTCTGGCTCTCATACAGAACTGATGATATCTGTGGTGTTGCGGGAGAGGATTGGGCTCAGTGGGCTGGGACCCTCATCCCACTGTTCCAGAACCTGTGGGCACTCAGCACCGAGAAGAGGAGGCGGGCACCAGCCACCAGCCTGTTCTAGGCCATGTGAGAGGCAGGTGTTGCCCAGACACAGACGTCCCCTACCCTGGGAACTCAGCGCAGTCTCTTGAAAGGGGGGGCGGCACCAGCAGTGTGTAGACAGTGCTGCGCCTGTGTGTGGGGCTGTTTCTATTTCTGTGTGTGACAGTGTCTGCGAGGGCCAGTGTGAGTCAACACATGTGCGATTTGCGAGTCTAAGGCCGTGTGTGTCTTTGAGTCCTCGACGTCAAGTCAGCCTTCATTTTTAGGCTGCGATTTTAGGGCCATCAGGCAAGGCAGGTTGCCAGCCAGACTCTTGGAGGAACAAATAAGTGTCAAGGGCGAGGCGTCGGGGTGGCGGAAGGGAGGGGTGACGCGCGCGGGAACCGCCACCTTTCTAGCCCCGCCCCCTGGCGACCCCGCCCACCACCTCGCCACTTCTGGGACCTCAGAACCCAAGCGCCCCCGCCTAGAATCCCGCACCTGTGGGCCCCTTCGTGTCTCTTTCCCCCTCTCTAGCCCGATCCTCGGAAGTAGCTACCGGCCCTGAACTCCAGCCCCCAAGCACGGCCCCTGCCCCTAGTCCAAGTTCCACCTCCCAGGATCCGCTCTCACGAGCTCCACGGAGATCGCCTTCAGCCCCACTCTTGAGGTCCCACGCTCCGCCCCGCCCCCAGCCTCGCCGAACTCCCCACCCCGCTCCCCAGGCACCGGACCAACCCCAGAGTGCTTTAGCCCCAACCCTGGACCCCGGGGGCTCCGGGCCCGCAGCCAGTAAGTCCCAGCCCAAGCCCGGCTGCGCCCCAGATCCCAAATTCCACTCTTATGGTGACTCTGCCTCGAACCCCTCAGCCTAGTCACCTTGTGTCCCCCAGACCCTACACCCATCCCGGGGTCTCCCCGCATCGCCGAGCCCCGCCCCGTTCGGCCCTCTCCGGGCCCCCAAGCCCCGCCCCGGCCCGGCCCCGCCCCCGGCGCGCGCTCACCCGCGTTGTAGAAAGAATCCAGCGCCGCGGTGTCGCCCAGCGCCAGCGTCCCGAAGGGCAGGCTGCATAGCTCGGGTCGCGCTCGCGGCCCGGGGAGCTGCGCGCAGGCCTCGCGCAAGCAGCGCAGGGGCAGCGGCTCCGCCTCGGCTCCCGCCTCGGGCTCCACGCGGGGCTGCGGCTCCCGGGTCAGCACGTAGACCACGCGGAGCGGCCGGCTTCGCGCGCAGCCCCGGCCCGGGGACGCGGCGGGGGGCCGGCCTCGGCTCAGCGCCTCGGCCAGCGGGTCCTGCCAGCAGCTGCCGGCGCGCTCCAGGGCTCCGGACCGCACGCACCGCCCTGCCGTGCTAGGGCGCTCGGGCGTCGGGCGGCCGGCTCTGGGCACCCGGGCCGGGACAGGAGCCAGCGGCTACGGATCCAGGGAGCTCAGCAATCTGGCACGGGATCTGGAAATCCAGACTCGGCCAGAGGTCCTGTTCCGGGAATCTGGAGCCCAGGGCGAGATCCGAGGTCCGACTTGCAAGGTCCTGAGGATCCCAAGTCGGGGACAGGGTCCCGGGAATCTGGGGCATCCAGTGACCCGCGGCTGAGTCACGTAGGGGATCCCGGGAATCGGTCCAGCCGCGTCCAGCACCCGGACACCGCAGGAAAGAGTCTGCCTGCCTCTCCCCTGCCCTCACATGTAGGCCGGGCCCAGCCCTTTCCCGGCCCACTGGGAAAGCTCCACCCTCGGCCCTGGGGCAGCGCCCCTCCCTAGCGGCCCGGGACTTGGCCTCTCCCCTCCCTGCTCTCCCGGCAGAACCTCCTGGCGGCTTCCGGAACCGCCTGTGCCCCTGTGCAGGCCAACCGGTGTGGACCGCACAGGCCAGGGCTAGGGGGACGTGTGAACCGCAGGACCTGCCCTGCAGGGACCTGTTGAATGAGTGGATCTCCAGAGACAGCAGGGTGTGCGGAACACAGCGAGGAGCCGACATCCCCCCACTCCACCCCAGCTGTGCAGGCCCTTTTGCCAGGGGGCTGCTTTCCCCCAGAATCCCATCTGACCTTTGACCTCCACCCAAACAGGACTACGGGACCTGAGTCCCCACATTTCTCTGCCACCTGAAGAAGAACCAGAAACCAGAAACCCTTGAGCTACCACACCTGCACAGCTCCAAAACCCCCTGGCCTTCCAGTGTGAGCTAAGGAGGCAGCAGCCTGGTGTAAACCTCGGTGTAAACCTCGGTGGGTTCTGAAATCAGGAACTGGAGACTCAGCTGCAAGATAACTCAGCTCCGGGACAGGGCAGCATGCAAGCCCAGGACTCCCTGCCGGACTGCAGTTATCACAGTCTCAACTGTGTGTTGCTCTGCCACTTTCTAGAATGTGCTTGATAACTGCTACCCTGTGGAAGACAAACATACCTTCCCTGGCTTGACTCTGAGTTCAAACTAGCCCAGAATGGGACAGGCAAGAAATAGTAGAGAATGAGAACTTGGCTCACAAGAGAGGTGGCAGTGAGGGGGAAGGGGGCACAGATGGCCTAGAAGCACAGGTATGTGCCAACTGGGTGAGATGCTACACAGGTCGGCCCACAAAAGCATCCACTTGTAGGACCTGGAGGGCACCAGAGTGCTATCCGTGGATGCTTGAATCCTTCCAAGTCCTCCACTACATGCTCCTCTGGCCTCGGCTTGCACACCTCCAGAGATGGAAGCCTCACTACCTTACGAGGCCAACCCTTCCATCTTCCTGACTGGAAGGAAGGTCTTCCTTGAATGAAACTGAACTCTGTGTCTCTGCTCTGCCCTCTTGAGTTTTTCCCAGTAACTGGAAGAGTCCTACAAGTCAGGAAAGGGTTAACGTGTTTTAATTTTTAAATGTGGGCAGGAGAGCAGAGGCAGTTAGCCACAGGGAGGGTAGCTGAAGGTCCGGAAGCTGCACGGGAGAGATAAGGAGACTGGCTGACAGGGTATCCTAGTAAGCATCATGTGAACCTTGCAGTAAGGGTGGCCCATGCCCTGGCCTGAGGCCCACTGATGCCATACTTGTGAGCAGTGGCCTCTGACATTGTGTAGTGTCCACTGAAATTGGACTGGCAGTGTGATGTGTACTGCCTGGCACCGTGGATGACCTGGCAGCACATGCTTACATCATGGTCAGCATCGTAGGTGGTAAAGGGCTTCCGGTTGTGGCAGCTCGGGGAGTCCCCCGACAGGGAGGCTATGGAGGCACCCTGGGGCGGGACACCATGCCTGGAATCCTTGAAGAGACAATCTTACAGGAGCCTCAGAGCAACTGTGGGGCAGACGTCATCAGGTCCCAGGAGAAAACAGCAGCACCAAGGAGCCAGAGTCTTTTCCCAAGGTCACTGGGCCCGTCACAGGGGTACTGGGACTTGAACTCAGTACTGTGGCTCTAAAGCTACTAGCTCCTCCCCCTGCCTTGCCCCCTCCCAGAATCCCCAGTTCCCAGTAACAGCCTGAACAACTCTGCAGGGTGAGGGGAGGGGGGACTGGGAGGGCTTTCCCAATGCCTGGGCCTGCAATGAGGATCCTGGGGCACCTCCTCATAACCACTTCCCTCTTGGAAGTCTCACAACAGTCACTGTTACTCTGAAAAAAACAAAAAACATAAAAAAACAAAAACCCTTCCCCACTTCCTCTTCTTTTTTTTTTTTAATTTATTTATGATAGTCACAGAGAGACAGAGAGGCAGAGACACAGGCAGAGGGAGAAGCAGGCTCCATGCACCGGGAGCCCGACGTGGGATTCGATCCTGGGTCTCCAGGATCGCGCCCTGGGCCAAAGGCAGGGGCTAAACCGCTGCCTTTGCCACCCAGGGATCCCTCCCACTTCCTCTTCTGAAGCAGATAACATAGGCATGCAGCAGGACCTCAGATGGCTCCCACAGCCTCCCTCCCTGCCTCCTTGCCCATTTTACTGGGGAGGAAACTGACACGGAGGTGACTTGCCCAAGGTCACATGATTAGTAAATGAAAGAGCTAGATTTGTACTCAGGACTCTTTGCCTCCAAAGCCCAAGATCTTCACTCCTGCACCGCTCTGTCTCATGATTGCCATTTCTCAGATGAACAGACGGAGGCCCACAGAGGGGAAGGGATTGCCCTGGATCATTTACGAAGGTCATGGTAGCGCTGGGAAAGGATCCAGCCTCCCTCACCTTCTTCTCCAACTCCAGGCCCACCTCAGGCTCACTCGCTTGCACTGCCCTCTGAGAACTTGTCCAACACCAGCTGGTACCCATCTGCCTCCCCAAGGAGGTGGAAGGCCTCATGGGGGCAAAGGTGTGTTCGCCAAAAAAGTCTTCCAGCTCCCCCTGCAGCTCCCAGGTACCTGGGCGTAAGGAAGAGGCAGGGATGGAGGGGTCCCCAGATCCCAGGGTGGGGATTCAGAGTGCCAAAGAAATGCCCCCCAGGCTCCCTGGGCCCTGCTGGCAACTTACCCTGAAGAGTGAGCTGGTGCAAATTCTCATGCCCCAGCCAGAATTCAGATTCTTGGCTCCCCAAACCTGCTTTATAGGAGGACCAAGAGCAGAAGAAATCCACAGAACCACCCTGTCGCTTTTGGAACACTTAGGGAGACAGAGAAGGCCAGCACAGCAGCCATTGCTCCCGGCTGGACAAGAGATGAGGAGAAGCGGGGGATGGTGGCGGCAGAGGGTAAGCACACTGTGAGGGGGCTCCTCTGGATTGGGGGCTTGTTGATAACGTGTGAGTCCGAGTGATCTTTGCTCCTGAACAGTGACGAACTCGTTCCCCTGACGTTCCGCCCCCACCGCAGTGCGCCCTCCATGGTGCAGCCTGAGTGCTTTCCCTAAAACAAAAATCTGACTGTGTCCCTTCTCTGCTTACAATGCTTCCATGGCTCCCCATTGCCTCCTGTGCTTCTTGGTCAGCCCTTCAGAGCCCTCCATGAACTGGCCTTTCTAGAAGCCCTAGAAGCTTCATGCTTGACCTACACCCGTACATCACCTACATGCCTGACCTCTTACTGCCCTCAGCTCATTCACACAATTTCCTCAAACCCTCTTGTACTCTCTGCCTCCCTGTGTGTTTGTCTATCCCTCTACCTGGAACGTCCTCAGCTCCCATCTAGCTGGAGAACTTCTACACAGCCTTCAAGGCCCTTTCAAATGGCATCTCCCCTGTGAAGCCTTCTGAGACTTCTTCAGGCCCTCTGGGAGCTCAGGAAGCCCTGGTCAGTGGGGGACTAGGAGGCCGGCCTTGCTCCAGTGGGCTCTGGCTCCCCCTAGAGGCCAAGAGGAGAAGTGCCCATTGGGCCTGGCCTCTGAGCCCTTTGAGCCTCTCTGACACTCACCCGCTTTGGTGTCCGTGTCACACAAAAAAAACTAGGAGGGCTCTGCCCTCGAGTAGGCACAGATTGCACCAGCCACTCAACGTGCCATGCCGGCTCAGCAGCCCCTAGAAGCTTCTGGGCCTGGGGAAGGGGAGATGGGCTGAGGGGAGTCGCCAAGAGGGCGCCGCCAACCCTCACCCTGCAGGCAATGGAACAGGCCAACAGTGGGACCCCAGGAGCCCTCTCGGCTCGGTCGGCCCCTGAAGAGGGCTCTATGGAGGGCTGAGCCATGTCTGGCAGCTGGCGGACACCCCAGCACCCCGTGATGCCAAGTTCCTGGCTCCCGTGAAGGCTGCCTCCTGGAACACAGCAGGGTCTCTGGATCTCCTGCCCTAGGAAAAGACAGAGTGTTGGCTCTGAGGTCTGAGTACTTCCAAAGCCCACAAACCAGAGGGGAGGGTGCCCAGACCCCTGTCCTAATCCTTTCTGCTTCTCCCAGCCTTCCATCCCCCTGGAGGGCAATCATAGTGGATTGCACAACAGCAGCCAAGCAGAGACACCCCTGTGTAGTCCTGGGGACAGAAGCAAAGGAAGCAGAGGAGTCCTGTAGTCCCACACATTCCCAGACTCACCCTTGGGCTGAGTGGCCACAGGGTCGACCTGGGGGAGTGGGCATATCTCTTTCAGACCCCTCTGCGGTTCTCTTTCCATCTCCAGAGTCCAGCTATCAGGACTCTTGCCTCCAGAGCTGCCAAGGGTAGAGGGTTTGCACCATTTCCATCTATTTTTGCATAAATTTACAACGCAGAGCCCAGATTCTCACCTTCCTATCCTGCTCCTTGAGGCTAATGCGCCTGGATGGGAGATAGACACCAGGGAAGGAGTGAGGGTTGGTGGGGAGAGCACCCTCGGCTGCTACCTGGGCAGCTGGGTGAGCTGGGTCCTTTGGCGGCCTGGCTTCACCAGCAAGAGGAGCAAAAGGGAGAATAGGGTCCACAGTAGGCCCATCTTACCGGTGCCCCTGAGGGAGGATGCCTATAAAGGGGCCAGGCTGGTGGGAGGACATGAAGCAAGACTTCTGCCCCTTGTCCCTCAGAAGGGGCACCCCACCCAGGCTAGAACCAGCAGGGGGTAGAGGCATTTCCTCCCTCAGCTCCTGAGGCCAGAACGGAGTCCAACTTCTGATCCTGGCCTCCAGACCTTTGGATTCGCACAGGGTGAATTGCCTTTGCACCTTTGCTTGTTCTGGGCCTTCCATCTGGAATGCCCTCCTTTCCATCTCTACCTGCGAAGCCCCACCTGTCTGTGAAGGTCCGGCCCTACGGCCATCTCCTCCAGGGGTCCTTCCCTGGTCCTTGTCAAGTGTTGTGACCACCACACCTACTGCACTCCCCGGGTCCTGCTGGGGATGCTTGTGTGTTGGCTCTGGTCCTGACACAACCTGGCTCCTAGTCATTATTGGCCCTGGGCTATAGGCCTGGCACAAAGCAGGCACTCAATAAATATTGGTGAAATGAATGAATAAACAAGGAGAAACTGAGGCCCAGAGACAGGGCATGGCTTGTTCACTGCCTGGCATTTCTATGCCCAGGGCCACAGAGATTCTGTTCAAGCCTCCCACCAGGAGGAGACATTCTCGGCAAAGTGACCTCATGCCCACTCGCGAGTCCGCTGGGGAGCTCCCGGCAGCAACTAGGAAATAGTTGCTAATACAGGCAGGCCATTGAGTTGGGCAGACCGTGCAGGGCAGGCCTGGAGGCTAGGAGGCCAGTGAGCGGGCAATAGCCACAGTGCAGATGTGAGGGTTGAGGTCTGAGCTGGGGAGGGACCTTGGGTGATAGGAGAGGAGAGGGATGGCTCATTCACTTGTTTGCTTACTCATCCATTCACTCATTCGTTCATTCATCAAGCCTTCCTTGAAGGTCTTCTCTATGCCAGGCCCAGTGCTTGTGGGGGCGGGGAGGGCTGAGGTACCAGGGGGTGTCAGGGAAGGTGGAGGCCAAGTTCACCACATGGGATGGAACCATGAGGACTCTCTGGGATCATGAAATTCTAATTTCAGGGATCTCTCCTCTCCAAACTCTCCCACAAGGGTGCCAAGATCTGCAGACAAGCCCAGTTATCATGTGAAATTTTTTTCAAAGATTCATTTATTGGGGGATCCCTGGGTAGCTCAGCAGTTTAGCGCCTGCCTTTGGCCCAGGGAATGATCCTGGGGTCCCGGGATCGAGTCCTGCGTCAGGCTCCCTGCATGGAGCCTGCTTCTCCCTCTGCCTGTGTCTCTGCCTCTCTCTTTCTCTGTGTGTGTCTCTCATGAATAGATAAATTTTAAAAATCTTTTAAAAAAATAAATAAAAGATTCATTTATTTATTTGAGAGAGAGAGAGCATGAGCAAGAGGGGCAGAGGGAGAGGGAATCTCAAGCAGACTCCATGCTGAGCCCAGAGCACAATATGGGACTAAATCTCAGGAACCTGAAATCATGACCTGAGTGGAAACTGAGAGTCAGATGCCCTTAAAAAAAATTTTTTTTAAATGGGTACCTGGCTGGCTCAGTTGGTAGAACATGCTACTCTTGATCTTGGCCTCATGAGTTCAAGCCCCACATTAGGCATAGAGATTACTTAATTTAAAAAAATTTATCATGTGCTGTTTATAATCAACATGGGGGCACCTCTGTGGCTCAGTCAGTTAAGGGTCTGACCTCAGCTCAGGCCATGATTTTGGAGTGCTGGGATCAAGCCCCATGTGGGAAAATCCCTGCTCAGTGAGGAGTCGGCTTGTCTTTCTCCTGCTCATGCTAATCAAATCTTTTATAAAAAAAAAAATCAACATGGAAGTGAGCCAACTGAACACGAATAGGATACAGGCAAATAAAATATCACCATCTGGACAAGTCATAGGGCAAATCAGATCTCTAATGAAAGGGGCAAAGTTTCAGAGCAACATGTATAGCAGGACCCCACTTTGTATTTTTAAAATGCTGAATGTGGGGGTGCCTGGGTGACTCAGTTGGTTGAGTGTCTGCTTTAGGCTCAGGTCATGATCCTGGAGTCCCAGGATGGAGCCCCACATTTGGCTCCCTGCTTAGCGGGGGGGGGGGGGGGGGGGGGGGGGGGGACTCTGCTTCTCTGACCCTTCCCCCTCTCATGCGCGCGCGCATGCGCGCTGCGCTCTCTCTCTCACTTTCTCCCAACTAAATAAAATCTTTAAAAAAATTTTTTTTAAATGCTGAATATGTGTACGTATGTTGCAAATTTACAAAAAAGGTCTGAAATGTACTGTTAAGCACAATTATTTCTGGGGAGTGGGACCAGGGGAAAGTGTTTCTCACTCTTCATATACATTTCCTTATAGTCCTTTTGTTCCCTACAGGCATTTACTACTTTGGAAAAAAACAAACATCCGATAAAGAAATTTCCATAACTGAGTGGAAAATCGAGGGAGGTGGGGGTATTTTCTCCTTCTTTCCCTGGAAAGACTGGCACTATCCCTGCCAGCACTTAAGTGCTGGGAGGAGAAGCCAGGGGAGGGTGATCCAGGCAGGAGAAACTGCATGTACAAAGGCTTGGAGAAGAGAGAAAGCAAGACAGGCTGGGTAACAAGAGGGAGATCCAAGTATGGAGAGAGGGGTGCTCGCAGGGGAGGCTGATGTCTGGATGGGGGCTTTGATGGAAGAGAGTGGAGGGGTGAGGAGGTGGACTGTATGGCATGTGGATGGTGGCACGACGTGTGGGCAGGTAAGCCATGAGGCCAAGGAGTAACCAGAACTGCTCGTGGGCCCAAGTGTCCCTCAGAGCCTGTCCAGCTGGAGGGCAGGGAGGCTGGGCCTGGGGGAGCAGAAACACTAAGGCTGTGTGGGCTGCACAGCTGGAGGGTGATGGGTGCCCTGCAGTGCAGGTGGGGCACGTGCACCGGCTCTGAATCTGTCCCACATCCCACTGAGATGGACACTGCTGTTACCCCCCTTCACAGATGGGGAAGCAGGACCAGAGCTGCGAAATAACTTCCTCCAGTTCACAGAGCAGAGCGGTCGGGCTCCACAGGCCGGCCACGCCACTGCCACCATTACCTGCTATGGCCTCTCTGCTTCCTCGGACAATCATGGGATGAAATCAGATAACACTGCCAGACTCTTAGCCACATGTCCTGTTTCCAGCAAATGCCCAGCAGCAGGAGATGTTATCAGTCAAGGAAGACTTCTGGGCTGGGCGGGGGTGGGGGGATGGGGATGAGGGGGGAAGGGGGAAGAACTGGCATGGGAGGGCACAGGCTTTCCAGAAGGGCCTGAGTGAGGAAGGCCAGAAGTGCAGAAATGGCTGTTGAGTCCTAGGGGCATCTCCACCATGGCAGATGGGCGGAGACCTAACTTTAGGAGCCAAGAGAGCCTAGAGATGCCTCTGCAGGGAGATTCTGAACTTCTGCTTATTCTGAGTCAGAAAAACCTCGCTTCGGGGCACCTGAGTGGTTCAGTCAGTTAGAGGTCTGCCTTCAGCTCAGGTCATGGTCCCAGGGTCCTGGGATTGAGCCACTACATCAGCAGAGAACCTGCTTCTCCCTCTCACCCCTGCTCACTGTGCGCGACGCCCCACCCCCAAATACATGAATAAAATTTTTTAAACAAAGAAAAGAAAAGGAAAGTCTGAATTCAAATCCCAGTCCTGCCTCATCCCACCGTGTGATCTTGAGCAAGTATACTTACCTTTCTGAATCTCCACAGACTTACCTAAAAAGGCTAGGGGCAGGGGGTAAGACAGGGAGAGGGTGAACATGTATAACAAACGAAAATATTTTAAAAGGTGATGGGGCGCCTAAGTGGCTCAGTCAGTTAAGCGTCTGCCTTCTGCTCAGGTCATGATCTCGGAGTTCTGGGATTGAATCCCGCATCAGGCTCCCTGCTGAGCAGGGAACCTACTTTTCTCTCTCCCTCTGTCACTCTCCCTGCTCTCTCTGTCAAATAAATAAATAAAATCTTAAAAAAAAAAAAAAAGAAAGAAAAGGTAGTAGTAGCAATCCAAGGCTGAATTGAATTCCCATTAGGGAGACAATGGCTATACCCCAACGCCTACAAATCCACACACAGCCCAAGACACAGGACATGAAGCAAAGTGCCAGAAAGAGTTGTTTTATTTGGGGGCAGTGCCAGGCCGGGGGGGTGGGAAGAGGCAGGCACAGACCTCGTGTCAGGAATGGGGCCCACAGTCATGATGGATAAGACAGAGATGATTGAAGAATGCTCTCAGCCGCAGGTACCAGGCCCAGGCCAGGAGGGAATGTCACACAGCAGGCCCTGAGTCTGCTTGATGGCCCACAGGGGCCAGAAATTTGTGGCCAAAGTTTTTCCCACCCCCAGTGCCTACAAGGGGGCCAAGAGGGCAGCCTCTTCGTCCTCCTTCCCCTGTGGAATCCAGGCCTGAAGGGGGTCAGATTCTGCAGAGGCCAGACAGAGAGAGCTCTCAGGACAGTGGCCCTACCTCAGCTGGGCTGAGGACCCCCACCCCCAGACAGCAGGCAGTGGCTGGAAGAACACACTTTAATGGAGGCTGCAGCAACCCGCCCCATTGCACACACGGCACACGGGGGCCTCGGGGCAGCTCCCCTTCCTCGAGGAAAACCAAACCGCACACATGTCCCATGCTCCTGCCTGCGGCCACGGAGCTGCAAAACGAAGGCTTGCCTGGGCTACCACCTACTGGTTCTCCTCCCTGCTGGCAGCATGAGGGACAAAGACAGGTGGGCTCAGCTGGGCTCTCAGACACGGGTCCAGGCTGAGTCCTGGCCCCAGCCAACAAGGGCAGAGAAAACCCCACAAGTTGAGAAGGGAGAAGTGTGACTCATGTGGGTGACGTCAGGAGGAAGACAAGGCCCTTAGGGCTGCCCCATTGAGAAGACAGTGCAGTGGGGACTGGGGGAAGTGCTGGTGGGCCAGGTACTCACAGTGTCTGGTAGGTGCTGTCCTTGGCCTTGAGGAAGCGTAAGATGAAGAAGGCCGCTGCCTGCAGGCTCAGCACCAGCACGACACCCCCAATGAAGCTGGCTCCATCAAAGCCAGAGCTGTGGGGCTCAGGAACTAGGGGGCTCCCTGCAGAGTCCAGGTCATAGCAGATCACTGGGGCCCAGGATCCCAATCCCACCCCAGTAACCAGCACAGGTCACCTGGGGGACCCAGTCCTCACAATAGGAGCCTTGAGCAGCAGGCTCAGAAGTTCAGCCCAGATCCAGTGGGCAGTTGGGAAGTGCCTGGCTGGGGAGGGTGGGGCCTGGGCTCCAGCCCTGGCTCTGCTCCCAGTTTGCTCTGTGGCTTGATGTCTTTCACATCTTCTCTGGGCCTCAGGATCGCATGGTCCTGATAGCGATGGGCCCCCTTCTAGCCTCCCTACCCACACTGGCCCAGTAGGGTGGCCTTGGGTCTCAGGGTTCAAAGCCTAGTTACAGATGATATCGACCTTTTTCAGGACTCCTAAGTCCTGAGACCCTGGAGTCACCCAATGTCAGAGCCCTTAAAGAAGGAAGAAGTGGAGGCCACACCCTACCAAGTGGATAAATGGAGACTAGGTGATGTATCTTAAAGGTCAAAGCTGGCTTCTGAGGACCAGACTTGTCCAAAGTCACCTCACGGTTAAGGGGTAAGTCATACAGTGTCCCCTGATGTTTTCGAAACCCGCCCCCCCACCTGCCATCTTAGGGCCCATGGTTGTCAGGCTGTCTGGATGGCTCCCAGCTGTGCCACGTTAGCCATCCACTCCCACTAGGGATTCGATTTCAGGTCCTAGGCCAGGTGCCAGGGCAGGGCTGCTGGCAGTGGATCATTCTGGGGCAGTGGAGAGGGGCCTAGCTGGGAGCTAGGTCCACCTCTCAGAGGGTGTAGCTTGTATCAGGGTGTCTGAGAATATGAAGGGCAAAGGGTGGTCCCAGCTACAGCTGAGGGGGCCCCAGAAAAGGACACTGGGGGAAAAGGAGGAGAGGGAAGAAATCAGCTGCCCAAGACCGAGCTGGGGCTCAGCCAGAGGGAGCTGAGCCATCAATAATTCAGCCTCCAAGATCAAGTTTCTGGCTTTAATTAACCAAAGCCTCTGCAGCCATCCCTACCAAGCCCAGTGACCTCCAGACCCTGAGGGGCAGTGGGAATCAAGGGGCAGAATTCTTGCTCCTGCTCTGCCAGGAGCCTGCTTTGTGACCCTCTCTGGACCTGGTGGTTGCGGTAGGTAGTGACTGAGCTACACCTCATTGGCGACCTGAGCCGGACACCCTTCAGCACCAAGGGCAGGTCCCGAGAGGGTCAGCCTGAGCTCCCAGAGCTGGTACTGGGCAGAAGGGATGGGAATCCTCGTTTGCTGACTGCTTTCCATGCGTCAGACACTGGGCTAGGTGCTATACACCTGCTCATAAAATTCTCACAGCAACTCTGTAAGGTATTACCCAATCCATTTTACAGATGTGGGAACAGGCTCAGCAGAAGAGTCACAGGGCTGAGGTCATACAGCATGTCAGTGCCTGAGCCCAGCTGTCTTTGCTGGCACCTCTAGTTCTCCCACCACTACCATTCTCCCAGGTAGCACTTACCTGTTGTGACTGTCTTTGGTTCATAGGTGGGGTGGTGGTGGGCAGCTGGAAGACAGGGAATCCATACTAAATCAGCCCTCCCACTCCCTGACTCCCATCAAGACCCCAGCCCCAGGCAACAGCTGGTCTTCTGACTCATATCAGGCCCCCTGTTCCAGGTCCAGGTCCAGCTGACATACTTTTAAGTCTTAGTTCACACAGTTCCTTCCACCAGATGTGCCCTCCCTCCACCTCTACCTTTCAGAGTCATCTCTGATGACACCTCCTCCAGGAAGCCCTCCCCCACATTCTCTTCTGGACTTCTGATTCTGAAGTCCTCACTATGTTTTACATTAGGCAAGCTAACTCCTCCATCCCCTCTGCACATCTGTCCTGGATTCTCTGGCTGTGCCAATTTTTAAATGGGGAAACAGGCCAGAGAGGGGAAGGGGACTTCTCAATGAGCTAAAAGCAGACCTGAAACTGGACCCAGGTGTTCATGAGTACAGTCTGCTCCCTGAGAGAGGCTGATTCCTTCCTGGAGGGCAGGCTCTGGCTGGGGACACCTTAACTCCCCCTCTCCAACTTGGCTTAGGCCAGCAGAAGTCCCCTTACCTGGACACAACTCTGAGCGGTTATAGATGGAGCAACCTTCCTTGACCGCCTCAGCTTGGGCCACACAGTGTCCTGGTGGGAGAAGGTATAGGGGAGAGATTTGGAGAGAGGTCCCAAGGCCCTGGGGTTCAGAAGTGGGGGCACTTAATTTGGGGTGGGCGCAGCTCCATACCTGGCTCCTCTGGCCGGCACTGCTCCCACACGCAGCCAGAGAGGTTGTGTGCTTTGTGTCCCTCCACACAGTGCTCACAGAGCTTGAACTGTTTGCAGGCCCCTCGGACAGCTGGCCAGATGTTCATGCGGAGCAGGGCTCCCCGCCCAAAGCCTCGAGCTCCTTTGCCTGAGAGTGGGAGCAACTCCTTGAAACTGAGCTGCAGCCCCCCTTCCCCACTACTGTGGCTCTCACCCCTTTGCACACATACACTCACCTGGATCCCCTAAGCCCCACTTACACATCTGGAATTTCCACAAACGCATAGTTACACACACCCACAACCTCCCCTACATTCACCCAGAGTTCCCTCCCTTTGCATACACCTGGGTTCCCTGATACGTGTGGCGCTGTCACCCCCAGACACACCTGAAGCCTCTAATCCCCCACATCTGGAGCCTATTACATACCGAGGCTCCACACAGGGCTAGAACCCCCTTCACCCAACGCTGGAGCCCTGAACTCTCTGGACAGTCCCCTCCTGCCCCCACCTCCCACCCCCAGCCCAAGGGCTCCCGAACGGACGCGCTGGGTGAGGGTACGCTCCGCCTGCCCCTGCCCGGGGTGGGCCTCCAACCAGACCCTGGTCCGCGTTACCAGCCGCAACGAGCTGGGCGCACAGGAGGAGGCAGCAGCAGCCGCCACAGAGCGCGACCCGTAAGGCGCGGGGTCCCGGCGCGGCCATGGGCAGGGCGGGGGCCGGGAGTCGGCGGAGAGCTGGTGCGCGGCGTCCCTCCCGGACTCGTCTCCGCCGGGCTGTGGGGAGCGAGCCCCGGGCAACCTGGGCGGGGCCCGGTGGGCGGGGCCCGGTGGGCGGGGCCTGCCCTGGGGGCGGGGGCGGGGCGGGGCGGGGCCCGTGGGCGCGGCCGGGCGGGGCTCGGACAAGAGGGGGCGGGATCAAGGGCTGGAGGTTCACCTGGTCCTGGGAGCCCCCACCTGCAGCCTCCCGGAAACCGCTGGTTTTCCCTAGAGGTGAGGAAACTAAGGCTCAGAAAAGGTGAGTGCGTAGGCAGAGGTCACAGTGGCAAAGCCTGGATTCTAAGCGAGGTCACTTTCCCGCAGGCTGGGCCTTGTCGCGTGAACGCAACCAGGCCCCGCGCGCGACTGGGGGACTGGGTTCAGCTGGCCCCTAGACCCTGTCCACTTCGCTTCACCCCTTGCACCCTACCCTCCTCTGCCCCTCAGCCTCCCACCACACTCTCACTATTTTTTTAAGATTTTATTTATTAAAAAATAATAATAAAGATTTTATTTATGAGAGGGAGGTAGAGACCCAGGCAGAGGGAGAAGCAGGCTCCATGCAGGGACCCCGACGTAGGACTAGATCCTGGGTTTCCAGGATCACACCCTGGGCTGAAGGCCACGCTAAACCGCTGAGCCACCTGGGCCGTAGGACAACTGGGGCTTTCTGCAGCCTTCCCTCCGGTCTCAAGTCCTACCCTGGCACGGCCTCCTCTGGTTCTTTTCTGGCGCTTCTTCTCAGGTTCCTGAGAGCACCTCCTCTTTCTCTTTCCCCCCTCCTCTTTCACTTCCATTCTCCTTCCTCTTCTCTGTTGCCCCTCCTTTTCCTCCATCCCCCTCTTCTTCCCTGGTGGCCTGATTCCTTCCTCAGAGCTACCTCTTCTGGAATCCTTCTGGCCATTTCACTGCCATCGGTTCCCATCTGAAAGCCATCAGGTCTCATCTCCATCTCCAGCCCAGTGCTCCCTTCCCAGCCGCAACCTGTAACTAATAATATGGTTCACACTATTGACCACTTACTCTCTGCAGAATATATATTCCACTAAGAGTTTTTACTTGCACCTTCTCATCTAATGTCCACAACTACCTTCTAGGCGTGGCTTTTGTTATTCTCAGTTTGTAGGCTTCAGAAGTAAAAATCAGGGGGCACCTGGATGGCTCAGTTGGTTAAGTGGCTATCTGCGGCTTGGATTATGACATCAGAGTCCTGGGATTGAGTACCCCTTTGTATCGGGCTCCCTGCTCAGTGAGGAGTCTACTTCTCCCTCTCCCTCTGACCCTTCCCCTGCTTATACTCTGTCTCTCAAATAAATAAGATCTTTTTTTTTTAAAGATTGTATTTATTTATTCATGAGAGACACAGAGACAGAGAGGCAGAGACACAGGCAGAGGGAGAAGCAGGCTCCATACAGGGAGCCCTATGTGGGACTTGATTCCGGGACTCTGGGATCACACCTTGAGCCAAAGGCAGATGCTCAACCGCTGAGCCACCCAGGCATCCCTCAAATAAATAAGATCTTAAGAAAAAAAAAAAAATTTGGGTGGCTGGCAGACTCAGTCAGAAGAGCATATGGCTTTTGATCTTGGGGTTGGTCTCAAGCCCCATGTTGGGTATAGAGATTACTAAAATAAATAAACAAACTTAAAAAAAAAGTAAAATCACTTGCTCGAGGGCACATGGTTACAATGAGGGGGGCCAGGATGTGAACCCAGGATCCAGTGGGCCCATCTGCTTCCTGGGCACCTCCACCTGAGTGTTTCTCAGGCTCCTAAAACTGTCCCTGTCTCTCTTCCCCACTCATGATACTTCCTTTTTCCTTCAGAACATGTATCAAATGTATAATTAATTACTCTTTTGTATCCTAGGCTGTAATTTCTGTGAAGGCAGGAAACCATGTTTATCTTTTTCTGTAGTTAACTCCCTCTACACTTAAGGACTGAGTGAGTATTTATTAAATAACCATATTGTGGGGATCCCTGGGTGGCGCAGTGGTTTAGCGCCTGCCTTTGGCACAGGGCGCGATCCTGGAGACTCGGGATCAAATCCCACATCGGGCTCCCTGCATGGAGCCTGCTTCTCCCTCTGCCTGTGTCTCTGTCTCTGCCTCTCTCTCTCTCTCTCTCTCTCTGTCTATCATAAATAAATCTTTAAAAAAAATAACCATATTGTATCATGTTGTGACTGTGTACATGTTTGTCCTTCTGGTCTGTGAGACCCTCAGGGCCCCCTACTTAATATCATATGAAATGTTTATTTGTAGATTGCCCCTGTTTCCCCATCAGAATGGAAGCTCTGTGGAGAAACCAAGTATTTTCGTTCATTGCTTTCTCCACTGTGCCTAGAACCATGCCTGGAAGATAGCACATGCTCAATAAATATCTACTGAACGTTGAAAATGCAGGGATGTGGGGGCGCCACGCTGGCTCTTTGTAAGGCATGCTACTCTTGATGTTGGGGTCATGAATTTGAGCTCCGTGCGTGGCATGGAGTTTACTTTTAAAAAGAAAGATTTTTTTAAAAGGAAAAAGAAAAGAAAATGCAGGGATGTGGCCAGATCACCTTTCCATCCACAGCACCCACTCAAAGCCCAGGGAATTGTCAGTGAATACTGGCTGAATGACCAAGTGGGTCTGTGCTAAGAATGTGTGCGCTGGCTATGCTCAGATTTTTGGGGACTGTGCCTCACGGTGGCTCAGCGGTTTAGCGCCACCTTCAGCCCAGGGTGTGATACTGGAGACCTGGAATCGAGCCCCACATCAGGCTCCCTGCATGGAGCCTGCTTCTCCCTCTGCCTGTGTCTCTGCCTCTCTCTGTGTGTGTCTCTCATGAATAAATAAATAAAATCTTTAAAAAACGATAACTGTGCCTCAGACACACACCCCTCCCAAGAGAGCCTGGGTCCATGGGATTCCCCAGACTGAAGAGAGAATGGGGAGGAAGTCCTACCTGGAAGCGAGTGCTCACAGCCATCTGGTGGTCACCTGGGGAACTGCAAGTATTGTCAACCCCTGTCAAACTTCACCCCCAGCCTCTTTTGGGGAGATGGTGATGTTTAGGATAGAATGGAAGGCATTCCTTGGATTAGGTTGCCAGCTTCAGATCCCAGCTCTGCCATTTGCTGTGTGATCTGGGCAAGTCCTTCAGCTTCTTGAGGCTTCACCTATGAAATGGGAAGGCAGGGTTATTGTAAGCCCTGGGATCGGGTCTGGCACCTGGTAGGTGGGAAGGACTGGACTGGGTATTAGTGGTGGGGAGGAAGCAAGGAGGTACGGCAGAGGGCATGAGGGGGAGAGAAGAGGAAAGGGCAGCTCTTTCTCTAGGTAGCAGATCTTTGGGGAAGAGAGACCCAGTTGGCACTGATGGCCTCCATTGTCCCATTCTCATAGGGCAGTTTTAAACAGCATGGAGAGAGTGCCCATGTGAAAATCCATAGCTTGGGCAGCCCTGGTGGCGCAGCGGTTTGGCGCTGCCTGCAGCCCAGGGCGTGATCCTGGAGTTCCGGGATCGAGTCCCACGTCGGGTTCCCTGCATGGAGCCTGCTTCTCCCTCTGCCTGTGTCTCTGCCTCTCTCTGTGTATCTCTCATGAATAAATGAATAAAATCTTGAAAGAAAGAAAGAAAGAAAGAAAGAAAGAAAGAAAGAAAGAAAGAAAGAAAGAAAGAAAATCCATGTTTCACTTGAGTCTCTTGCATCTCTGGGGTTTCTCATGGCTAGAAATATCACTGCACTCCTTTCCTCCCTGGCTGCCTGAGGATCCACTACCATCTTGAATGACACTGTGACTTTCTGGATCAGGAAGTTTTAGCCAACCAACCACTTCAGTGGAAACATGGTCACTGATGTTCTTCACACTGAGAAGGCAACAGTACCTAAGACAGAACTTTGGGGAAAATCAGCCAAAATGTACAAGACCACACCAGATGTCATCTTTATATTTGGAGTCAGAACCGTTGTGGTGGTGGCATGACAACTGGCTTGGGCATGATTTATAATTCCTTGGATTATGAAAGAAAAATGAACCCAAAGACAGCCTTGCAAGACATGGTCTGCATGAGAAGAAAAAGACCTCAAGAAAACAGCAAATGGGACATGAGAACAGAACGAAGAAAGTCAGGGCACCACACAGGCCAATGCTGGTGCAGGCAAAAAGGAGTAAAGATTCTGGAGTGACTTTATCTGTGGTGATTGTGCATGAGAGGATTAATGAACTATGAACATATACAAAAAAAAAATAAGGAACTGGGGCACCTGGATGGCTCAGTTGATTAAGCGTCTGCCTGTAGGTTGGGTCATGATCCCAAGGTCCTGGGATGGAGCCACAAGTCGGGCTCCCTGCTTGGTAGGGGAGTCCGCTTTTCCTTCTCCCTTTACCCCTCCTCCTGCTTGTTCTCTCTCTCTCTCTGTCAAATAAATAAAATCTTTTATTTTTTTTAAATAAGGAGCTATTACTGTCACTCAGAGTAACAGAAGACAGTCTCTCATACAACTCTCTCCTGCCAACCTCCCAGCCACCTTTGCCCATCCCAGAGACCCGCTGAGCGGTTGCTGGGATCCAACTCTGATGGAGAAGAGAGCAAATACCTGAGTTCTGGGGGGCCTGATGCCCCTGTATTCTCTCTCTTTGGTACCCCCACCTTTCTTGACACTGTGCGTATCACTATTCTTCTCTTTCTCTAGATGCTGCTTTTGACTTTAGGCATCCAGTTGACGAGTATTTGTACGAGGCCAGGTGCTGTAGTAGCACAGAATGGAACAAAGTCTCAACCCTCACAGAGCTTATATTCCGGTGGGACTGATCCATAGTGAAAAAGAAAATACATGAAGAAACATATAATCGGAGGAGTACTAAGTGCTCTGAAAAATAATACATGGAGGAAAGGGGAGAGAGAGGGATGGAGGGGCGGGGTCACTAGGATAGAGGAAGGGAAGCCTACTGTGGAAGTGATGAAGACAAAGGCCTGAATGAAGGGAAATGGGTTCCAGGCAGAGGGAAGCCCAGGACCCTTTGCAAGGACACACTCACCCACA